CAGTTCTTATTTCGTTATCCTGCACATCTACGTCAGTGGTGCGTGTCGCATTTGAATTTTAGTTAACGACTTATATAAATAAACATCTGCACTTATATAGAAATATATAAGCGGGCGAATAAATGCCCAACGTCAAAATAGTATCTAAATTTCTTTTAAGGAATATTATAATGCGTTTTCACTAAAATGATAACCCACAAAATCGAATTGGCCAGTCAATAACTCCTAGCATTGAGGAAATGAATTTACGAAGTAGTATCAAACCCGAATTCTGAAAGTGAAAATTTGGACCACTAGAACATGATGCAACAAGCAATTTTTGATAATGGATGGGAGTGATATAAGAATCTCACCCTTCTAAAATATCCTATCCATTTTGCCTTATCATGGATAATAATTGCTTAAAGAATTAGTTTTAGAGATAATTCTTGGTTTGTTTAAAGTAAAGGTAATGGTCAAAATACCCCTTATCAACGCGTTAATTTTAGTCAATGCGATTACTAATTAAAATAAAATTAATTTGCTCAATTTCAAATCAAACCTTAGTTTAAAATGAATTTTAAATTTGACATGTGAAGTATTTAATTTGAACGTGTTGGTATAGTAAAGCGGAAGCCCACAGCCTCGAAAAGCTCAGATGATTTATTTTAATTTGCAGTTCATTTAAACAAACTATTACTCTTCCTCAAGCGCTGTCAACCACTCTCATGAGGATGTTGGGGGGTCGGTCACGGTTGATTTTGCATTGAGCATTCTAGATGTGTACCACACTCCGCGCCAAATGATAAAAAGAGCACCTTCTCCCAATCGCCTAATTTAAACAAACAGGATTCACATGCACACACGCACAGCATTATAGGCGACAGTTTACGTGGCTGGGTAATTTTTTAACGTGCTCATTCACACCCGATAAAATGACATTAGAATGTGCTACTATGACCACAAATGAATTAGATGAATGTGCAACATTAAAATGTAAAAAGCGATTATTGTTATGGGCTTCTTTTGCAATTCGACAATACAAAGAAGAAATAATTGGCTTCGAAATTTTAATTAGAAAAATTGAAAATGTGTTAATTTAGGTACCTAGAAGAAATGCAATAACGCCTACCCTACCCTCCATCTTAAATATTATGCAAAGGATTTCCCTACCTTTGAAAATATTAACGCTCGTGAGAACTTAGCTATTATGCAATACATTTTGTCTGGAATTCTTTCGGCTACTACGGTTAATAATAATTCTCATAAATAATCTTGCTATCAGCAACCAGGCTTCTTTGAATAAATGCACGTCTCTTGTCTCAATTTTTGGGGACTGGGTCGGCTACAGTTTAACATTACAACATTGTTGAAATAAGCTTTCTTTACGCAAAGTTTCCATTGATTTGATCTTATAACAAAACAGACAGTGATTAAGGATTAAAGACATTGTTTAGGGAAATCTTAATAGATATAGCTTTAAAGAATGGCTATTGAATTCATATAATCTTGAGTGAGATAAATAACGAAATTTCCATCATATCTGCTAGAAAGAAAACGCAAGAATAATTTTCATATCGAGCCATTGCGGGAAACACTTTACGTCATTCTGTTCTCTTTTAGATCGTGACAGTTAATAGAAGGCGATGATACACAAATTTTAATAACTTCCAATCTTCTAGAGGTTCCCTCAGTTTCACCCAACGGTTGTCGGCTTCATGTTCAATGATGATGTCACAGTTAAATACTTGGGTGAAGGCACACCTGGACATTTGAAGATATTTTACTTAAGGTGCACGCTAGTAACGTGGCGAAGAGGATTGCCTATTCGAAGATTATTTTCAACAGTTCAATGTCAATTACGAAGATGACTATTACATAACTTTTTCAAATACCCAACAAACTTTATGAAACACAATCTCAAATTCCTGATCCTTCATTTTACACAATCGGTAAGAATTCAGGTATACGTTTTCATGAGGATTTTGGAAGTGAGTACTAATCTATAACCCTAACAAATGGTTAAAGGAAGATGCTAGTTCACATTGCTTAGTTTAAATTTCCTATAGGCAAGGACATTTTTCCAGATGAATTCAAATCTATACCCGTGGATTTTTGGAAGGAATTTCACTTCAGGGGAACGTATCATAGCGTACGGCGTTTCAGAGTGGAAGGTGCCGATTTCTAAGAAAGTTTTTATATCATTATTGTTGTTCACGAAGAGAGGAACTTAATCGATTACCACTTCACGACTGATATTTCTAATGAAATGTGAGAAATAAGCAAAATAGAATATTTTGAAACGGAATTTTATTCCGAATGTGTACCATAGAATTGGTAAGTGCCTTCCATTAGAGATATTGCGTCTTACGTCAGCGTATTGAACCTGTATCAGTGAGTCCAAGGTAGCATTCTGACTGTTTTTTCCAACCTCTCGGGAAACCAGCCTTCTTCGATAAATCGAAAGGGCTGATTAGGCATAGCCTCCGTTCCATTCCACTTCAAAAGTCCCACTTCGTTTCGAGGTTTGAAATTCAATGTTGAATTCGCAATCACTTCAACCAAGCATTCATTCTTACTTTCCAGTTTTGGAAACACCTCTAGTCAAATAATTTTCCTCCACTTCTTGTAAACTCTTAAAACCGCATAATCAACAAAACCGGTTTGCATGCCATTAAGGATGCCCAAAATTTGATTAACTTTAACGCCTGTTCAATTTCATGAATTTTTCTAAACATCGGTCCACTCCATAGTAAGGATATTTTTGTAGGAAATTACATATACGATTACGTGTTAATACTGCTTACATACAACCCAAAAAGTAAATTTATATTGACTCATTTAAAAAAATGCTAAATATATTTTTACCCACTTAAGTTCACATTTATTCATATTTGAGAAAAAAATTGGGGATGAATAGATCTGGTAAGATACAGGTGGCTAAGATATGATTTAATAGGACTCCTAAAACAAATAAACATTTATTGTATATAGAACGAAATTTGATCTACTATTAATTCAGAAGTAGGTAGTAAATTACAAATACGGAGTTGCAAACACGGCACAACAGCTTGGAGTGCTATTGCGCAATATTACCTCTTTAATAACGAGTGAAAACCTCAATTACCAGTCGTCTTTCAAATCAAATTAGACAGCAAACGCCGATTAGCCAAGACAATTATTTCATTTTAAGAATGAACACATCAAGCGACATACAAGAAGGAAGAAGCGAGAAAGGGAACGTTCCCGAACGCCAATTGCCCAATGTTCAGGGGGAATAGAGGAGTGATAGGAAATTCCAAGAAAAGACAAGAGTATGAATGAGTGGATAAGGATTACCAATGAGGGAGAAGGAGAAAGAAGGGAAGGACACTTAGGGACGAGACGACACAAAACGGCGTGTTCCATGGTAGTTGGCCCTCGTGAAATTGAACATCGCGACCTTGAATTTGAATATATAGATGAAAGATGTATTCTCGTTTTTCTTTTGACGAATAATGAGAACTGAGTCGAATTGTGCGTTGCATTGCCACTTAAAAGGGAAGACATTTCAAATTAAACCAAAGGCTCTTCAGAGAAATTGAAAATACCCTCTCCCCCCCAAAAGAGAAATGATCAAGACAAACTGTTATTGTAGCAGAAAAACTGAATATACAAAATCGATTTCACCGATGGGAGATAGCTGGGAAGTAATTCCCAAATTATTTACCGGGGTTGAGGGGATACATTTACCAAGGTACTCATTAAATACTGGTCCTAAGTGTAACCTTCGTGAGACAACTCCATTTGAAAGCTGACTGAGAGCTCCGCAATTACGACTTAATTAACTTAGCCTATGCCTGCTTATAACAAATGTAGAAAAAGGAGCAGACGATCGATCTAATGTAACATAGGCGACTGAATAAAAGACTTATATCCTAGAAATTAGCTGAAACTGAATAAAGATGCAATACAAATGCTAAAATCTAGGAAAACCCGTTTATTGATGTTTCAAATGAGTAATTTGCACCCAACCAACCATCGGTTGGCTTGTATTATTTTGGGACTGAATGAGCAATGCACCCTTTAATTACATTATGCGCAATTTAACAAGCTTTTCCCCTCACCCCCCCCCCTCCCCGATAACACAACGAAATTTGAATATATTGTATGAAGATTTCCATCTATTTACCTTAGTATGAGTGAGCAAAATAAACAAATATACAGGATGCAGTTAACTTATTGGTTGGTACAAAAGGAATATGGAGAAGGGTGCAGCAATGATCTATGTTGGTAATAAAGTAATTTCACGAGCCTTGCTTAATTTAATTGCTATCACATTTCGCTAAATGACGTGAATTAATTTTTCAGCACATTGCCTATTATATCGTTGAAATTTTATTAAATAAATCGAGTACGAAAACAAGGAAGCTTTAAAAATGTGTCATGATTTGTAAAACCTATTATCAATCAATGCATTTACCTATGAGCGACATATTAGCATCTATAAGTGCTGCAAAAGGGTTCCGCCTAGAAACCACTGGATTAGAATAGGGGAATCCTGCATGGCCATAGACATTTCTACCTCACAGTCAAAAGATCTCGAAAGACGTGTGTAAAAAGAATACAAATTCGAAATTTGGACGCGAGAATTGGCAAAAAAACCGAAAAATGGAATAATCGATAATGTCCATGCTGCAGGGTCATTACGTAGCCTCAGACTGTCTAAAGAAGAGTCAATCAATAAGTGAGCACAATTAATCACATTACATCAACTAAAGTACATCGCATCGATATAAGGATAATAGTAAAGAAAACAACTTGCCTCAAAATAAAGTCCACCGAGTATAAACAACTAGCGATGTGTTAGAAAGTCCATTGATTACTTCATCCGAAGAACATTTTAAGTGTTAAAGAGAAGAGGGATGTAAATTTGAAACTTTTTCTTGTGGGCACACATAAAAGAGCGCTCATATACCCCCGTAAGGACAAACATCGCTAGTTTTAGGTTGGTTTGGTGTAGTTGATAGTTGATTCTGCTTTCACACCCATGGCGTCCATCCCTCAAACATGAGGGCTAGGTTGTTAGGATCCATTGCAGCTCGAATGCAGAGATGGGCTTGGTCGATGAAGCTGAGCACTGTTGATGATGAAGCTTCATCGTTTTGAGGCAGCAGGTATTCGTCCACACCTTGCAAGCGACCGAATAGACGTCGCATTGCTAACAAAGCCTGTGGTGAGACAACTTCTCGCGGAAGCGGCCTGGAGTCAGCCACCTGAAAAAGGAAACAACGGATCAAGCAAGCTGCAACTGATAAAAAGGAGTAAAATGTCCTTTAACTACGTTCCCAATAAATAATGCTAAAATGGCATATAAAAAACGTCAAGGACAACAGAGAAAAAACTGATTTTTCACTTAAAAATCCAATAAAGAAACAAAGACTACTAAGTGTTCTTTCAACTGGATTGGCTGAAAGTCTAGTAATACAAAAGCAATCCCATGAATGCAATAACTAAAAGGGTATCTATCATGCGAAAAGATTATAGGAATCTTAAGGAATTAGAGAAGCTATAGTCAAGTAAATTATTACAAAAATATGTTAAATATCACAAGGGTGATTAATGAACATCGCACCAGATATGCACGTTCTCCTTGTGTCCCAAAAAATAAAATTATTCGACTTTTAAATTGCTATTGCTTTAACTAACTCTATTTAATAAAAATCCACTTTTACCCATTCTCAAATTAACAGTTACCTTACCAGTATAGAGTGAGGACTAACGTTGCGAAAGTAACTCACTTCGAAGTAATCTTCTACCTTGACATTATTAACGAGTGCCAACTTCTCAATGATTGAGATGATGGCGGTGGATTTCGATCTTTTCAGAACCTTCAGGATACCCTTTTCCAGAAGCATCTTGAAGCTTGGTCCCAAGTGATCTCGGAGTTGCAGACAGTTTCTAAGAACAGATAGGAAACCGGTGATCATTATCTTATTTTTGTTCTCTAGGAAATATCCAGAAGTTAGTTCAGTTAGATCCTTCACAACTTGGCTTGAAGTGGTCTTCCAGATCTCACAATTCTCCAACCATTGTTTCCAAATGGAACCACATTCTTGATCACTGGAGATTTGACTGAAACGTTCTAGTTGCTTCACATAGGGACTTAACTAAAATAAATTAAGGATAAAGTATATCATTTAAATAAAAGTGAATTTAGGTAGAGCTGACACGTACCTCGGTTAAAAACTGTTTTTCAAATGCAAGAAGGGCTCTAATAAGGGAACCGTAGTCATCTTTATTGGCTCCAACAAGATTCTCTTCCACCAGTGTCGAAATTGCTGAATCTATTCCATTTTCATAGATCTGCAATTCCTGTTTAATCTCTGTAATACGACTGGAAAGCTTCTCAATGACCCACTCCATATTCGGCCAATCAGTTGCTGGCCAGGAGAGATTAAACTGGTTCTTCAGATCATATAAAACTGTATCAAGTTCTGTGAACTCCTTCTCACACTGGCCGAGCTTCCTACAAAATGACGTATAGTCATTTAGGAGGAGGACAGCGTTATCCAAATCATCATCATCACCCAAGCGACTATGTTCCGCTGCACAGATGGCGAGACCGATTTCACAAAGACTTTTAATTTCTGGATCAGCATTCTCACCAGTCTTCATTTTATTCTCAACACAAGTTTTCAACCTTTTTAGATAACTTCTCAAAGATGAATCTGAATGATCTGCATAATCATGCATCCAATCAAACGCCTGACAGGCACTTTGTAACAAACTTAATTGCACTTCATTTGCCTCAATTTCACGAGAGACCAAGAGGGTATAGACATGTGAGTTGGTAGCATTGAAGACATTAACTAGTTGGTTGTCAATTGCCGAGGCAAGTATCAAGACATCGGGGTTGATTCCAGCATAAGTTTCGGCCATTTGATGTAATCTCAGGACAGAAACAGACGGCGCAACTCCCATCACAGGCATAAGATTTGTTTGTTGAAGTAGTTCCTGTTGAACAGAGATCCCCAGCGACTCAAATAATGCAAGAAGCACTCGACTGGAAGCTAGTAAAGCTTCACTGACTAAAACCAAACGATCAGACAAGCGGTTGATAAAATCCCTTTCCAACACTGTTACATAAGGAACACAAGATATAGTTGAGCGTTGTCTGCCTTCACGAACATCAGTCCATATGCTACTTATTTCATTAGTGACTTTAAATATTGTCAGAATACCGGCTCGGTAGACTTCATCGAGCCATGTAGTGAGTTCACAGGGCCCATTACTTGGACGCCAGCCCCATAGACTTGTTGCCCCAACATCTGCAGTGCATCGACTTTGAAGAGGTGCAATGGCCTGTGTAATCCAATCGACTCGGCTCCAAGATGTCGCATTGATGGGATAATTTGCAAGACTTTGACAAGTGTTCTCCATCTCTATTGCGACAGTTAAGAGGGTGACATGAATCTGCTTGAACACCTCTGCTAGAGGACTTTTTGAATCACCCATCACAACGACATTCATCGCTTGTTGTAGTTGGAGCGCGCTGTCAGTTGAATTAATCACTTCTCGGATTCGATCTAGGAGTAGCAAATCACTTCTTGAAGCAGTTCTTAATGCAGATTCCATAGAAGGCAAGAAACCGAAGCAAAGACTATCGCGCAGATCAACGACCTTGCCGATAAGAGCATGTACGGTGGAGAAGAACTGAAGTTCCGAATTTGTATCAATCTCATTTCCAGCCCAAAATGGTAAACCATTACCACTACCCGTTGGGTCTAGTACCGAGATTGCACACTCGATAGCACCGGTATGTTGATAGAGCACATCAATATGCACCAATGGTTCCATTACAAACATAGAAGTGATCCAAGTAATGAGATTTCTCACCAGAGATAGACTATAAGCAACTTGGATGTTACGACAGCTATTCTGATGAATAAATCTCACCAAATTTTCATGAGATTGATCGAAGAGAGAGCGGAGACCGTTACGATCAAATGTAGAAGGTATAAAGTGCTGCTCTTTGAGAGTGCGCAAATTCGATTCGGTAACTGTTAGGGCATTATGAAGTGAGGTGCTGAAAAAATTATCGACCTGAGGAGTTACGGTTTGGCGATAAAGTTGTTTGAATGCGGTCAGAATGTTAGGGGAAAGAATGGCTTGTCTTAATGCAGAGGCGACCTCCCGCTTATTGGAGAACCTTATCGTGTTATCCCTATTGAAATGAAACTTGGAGTCGGATGATAGCATACAGATCTGAGCGAAGTTACGATATTCATCAAGAAGATGAGAGAGATCACCACTTGAACTTGAAGAAGGTTGACTTAACCAGTCATTCAGAATGTCTAAATCCCGCACAATATTAGCTTCCAGACAAGTGGCAAAGCTTTCAACACGTTCAAGGGCAGACTTAATCTCTTCCTTTGCGCTTTCCACCCCATGACAATGGTGCTCGAAAGCAACCAACTGTTCATACCCTTCGGAATTTGAGCTAAGAATTGCGAGCTGGCGTGTGATACGGTCGATTTCTGTCTGCTTTTCTTGAAAGTCACTTAGTACCTTGAGGTTATCAACTAGCATATTTAACAATGAGTTCACCTCAGTTTGCCACGAAGGTTCCTTGATTCCGAGCTCAACCATTCGAGCAATCATTAATCCTGTAAATAAGAATAATTACAATGAATTTAAGGAATATTAGGTTCATAAATAACATCGAAATAGCTTAAGGACAAAATGGGGGGGGGGTCTCTGTCAAGAGTCCTTGATTTGATAAAGACGTTTTCTTATTAGTTATTGAATAATGATCACATTGTTAAAACATTTTTAGTAAAGAAGAACAAATTTCTAGGCCAGGTATGATAAGTATGGAAGATAACAGAAAGTCACTTGTAAGAGTCGAAGTTACATCCTTTAGACCACCCACATCATTGTATGTGATACAATTAGCACATATTTTTAAACCTGTGCACGTTCGCCACCACGCTACCGCCATACGTATTGATGAATGCCATAATTTAATAATCATTTTGGATAGCTATAAGAAATCATTATGGAAAATACAAATGAGTAGTTCCAACGCATGCGAACAGAACGAAGTTTCCATAATCATATGGAAATTTAATTTAATTTAATTTAATTTAATTGATAAAATGAGATAAGGATCTTCTCCCCAATTCCATTTCCAAGCAAGCCATTAGGTAGATATGCACATTTACAACAATGATACATTAAAATAAACTATGAAGACTCCATAAAGACGTATTAACATCTCAACCACTAAAGTTGATCCCGATTTTACCACACGTGAGGTCGCTATTTCACCAGACCATATGCAATTTAAATATATAACCTCCTTTATAGAATGATTTAAAATGGTAAACAGCTTACCGATGGTTCGTTCCACTTCCACATTCAATCTTGTCTGCACTCGTCTCTTCTTAGTCATTTGATTTTGAGATTCGGAGGCTAAAGGAGGTAAGCAACCACCTCTGAATGCAGCAAAATAAGCCAAATCAAATGCACTCCACGACACTCCACTCTGGCTAGCACTCATCCAATTATTCAGCGGATCAATCCCAAAGCTCTGCAAATGCATATGGAAGAGCTCCTGAATTGAACGACACGTACGAAGAGTCTCCACAAAGCTAGAGCCAAATGTTCCTCCAACTTTGCCAGAATTATACATGCTAAAGGGGCCGAGAGCATGTCGAAGGATCCGCGTGAAACGGAAGGGCACCAATTCGGGCACTTTTAATGAACGACCTTCATCAAAGCAAACATTGAAATCAATGTGGACTATCCTGCCGGTAGAGAGATCAACTAGGAGGTTATCTAAGTGTCGATCCCCAAGACCAATAAGGTAGCCGAAAGCTGAAGTAACACCAAGAGATGTGGCATAAGTGCGATGAATCCTCCACCATGCCGACATACTAGAACTGGCCGCCCAGAGTTCACGGGTCATTAAGTCATCTGGAATCTGCATCTCCAGTTCATTTAGTATCTTGACAAGAATCTCTTTTGGCCATAAGTGCCGTGAGTTGAGATTAGCCAGATGCGCTGGTAGATGATCTCGTAACTTTCTATAAAAAAGGTCTGAGGGTTTAGCTTTAGCGATAAATTCCAACGGCCTGCCTCCTACGTTATCAATCGCCATATCAAGCGCAATCCTCTCTTGCCATTTCTTATAAAGTTTAAAGAGTGGCACCGCAGCCTGAACCATTTGAATGAGACCTGCTTTAGGTCCGATGGGGGTAATTGAATAAGTTGGTGTAGTGTAGGCATTAGGCTGTCCATCTAAACTAAAAGCTGTATTTGTTAATCGCAGTAGACCCATTATACGTTCATCAAGGCGTAGATCCTCAAGACACTTGAGTAAATAGGGCATAGCTTGGCCCCTATCATTGAAAAATGTCAGATACTTTGGACGAGTCTTGGTCGGATAGACACGAATTTCAGGCGCAATGTGAACGAGATTTGTTCGAGCTCGACCAGGAAGAGGAATTGATGAATTACAATTCATAGTAAGGAGGGTGGGTGAAATTTCAGCCAAGTTGAGCAATCGATTAGAAATATTCATACGAACCACCTTGCGCTCTTTTTCTTTTTCTTCTTCCTCCTCTTTTCCCTCAAGACCTTCCAGCTTTCCTTCCTCCACTTCCTCATTTTCGTTTTCCTGATTATCTCTCACTGACATTTTTTGATCCCCTCCTTCCGCCTTCTTCACAGGAAGTTGATTGAGCATCTGGAACCGCTTGTACAAGTCTTTAATAGGTTCTAGGAGCTTTCTGTAGTCATCAGGTGGCTGCTCAGTGCAGAAATTCCGTAAAATTTGAAGTGTTTTATCGATGTGCTGTAGTGAAAAAGACGAATGTACGATTAAGAGTGATGTTTAAAAACAAAAAGTTTACATAGAATAACAACTAGTAGCAATCATCTAGACATACTAAAATCGTACCTCTCTATAGGTATTTTGGAACCACAACTCATAAGGCGTTTCTGCAGAAGTATCCAAAGTAAGAGCGCAAAGTTGCTCAAAAATAGAAAATGTCGGCGCTAATAGAGCCTCACAGCGCAATTTTAGAATGTCATCCACAGAGTTTGCCAAATTCTCCTTTTCACCCTCCGTCTTTTGCTCAAGAGCAATCAACTAGGATCAGAAAGAACAAAATAACCTAATAAGAGTATAGAATAGCATTCAAACTGGCACTATAATACGTACCCTTTTATCGAAATCGTCCAAGTGTTGAGTGAGAATTCCAAACCAGAGTTCATCCCACAAAACAGTAATTCTCCTCATCTCATCAATCAAAGAAGAAACCTCATTGACCATAGTTGAATAACCAGCGTCGACAAGTGCTTCAACTAATTTTAAGTGACTTTCCACCTTGGCTTCAACTTTCACTGCGATCGAAAACAAGGGCGATAGTTCAAACTGAATAGGCATAAACAAATACACAAAATTGATCACTGACCATAATCAACACCCCTACAGCCAACAAGAGCAGGATAGACCAGCTTCTTTGCCAGAACACGGTCACTATTGGAGGTAGCTTTTGCTTCCTTAGTTGCTGCATGGATAAGTCGATTGAGAAGAACAAGGAGACACTCTCGAACGACAGGATCGGGATGCCCCAGACGATCTAAAATCTGTGGTAAACACTCTGCCCACACAATAGAGCTTGTGTGTGAATCGACTGAATCGGAGATAAAAGAATTGGAGTTCTTTGTAATGCCATGGGTTATCAAATCTGCCACAGTGTTACGAAGTGCACGACTTGGTTCATTGAGAAGGCTCAGCAAACGTAAAGCAGCTAAAGATAAAAAGTGATAAAAGGCTGCACTTATGAACGTATTGAGACGTGGATAAATTATATTTATTGCCTTACAATGGTTTGAATACTCAGAATACGTCTCAGACATTTGAACAGTAGCAGCGATTCATTCGTTTCTTGGATCGCTATGTCCCAAGTACATCCGATACACATTTTATCTCACTCACACAAATGAAAACGGCCGCGATCTCCTGTCTTAACAAGCTGTCTATTAAATTTAGACTACGGAATTCCAAAAACTTTCTTTCAATCCTAATTCAAAGGGCGCTATGTGGCTCTTCCGGTCTTTTAGTTTTGGGAATGGCAATTTGGTGGCACTAGGATAGGATTTTGGCTATTCAAGGAATTTTGATGAACATCTCAATACTTTTTCAAACCATCATAAGCCACGATCATAATTATAATGTGTAAGTATTGATTAGAATGACCAGAAGCTGAATAAATACCTCGAGTTGAATCGAGCGGTCGAATCTTCTCCTGTGATGACCCACCAGCAACAAATTTTCGGCCAGCGACAGCCAGAAAAGTAAAGTAAGCTTGAGCAGAAATTGACTGCAGAGTGTGGAGTCGAGAGGTAAGAGCAGCCGCAAGAGAAGAGCACTCAGAGAGAAGACGGCTGTTGAAGGTCATTGAATCGTCAATCAGAGAAGTCTCCTCCGCCAGATACTCCATGAATATGTCCATTAGCTGAGGAAAGAAAATACAAAATATTAAATGGGGGCTTAAAACATCATTTCTTATGATCATGGCAACACACAGAAATCTGACCTTATCTACAATGAAGTCATAACATATGGTGCATCCAAAAAGCAAGAAAGAAAAGGAATAGGAGTACCCCTAGCATATTCACCCAAAAATTTTACCATAACTATGAAATCAATGATTAAAAAACATCGAAATTTAAATGCTTAAAACCACGTTCGATTTGCACCGCATTAAGAAATTACAGAAGCAAGTTTTTTTCTAGTGCAAGAATGGTGAGGAAAGATTATTGTAGCACATACTCGGAATAATATAAAGGCCAGAAAAAATGCTTTAGAAAACTTAAAGTGACGGATAAGTGAACAAAAGTTTCATTACGCATAAAGAAAAAATAAGATCGATTAACGTATCTAAAAAACGCACATAATTTAATAAGAAATGTCATACCCAAGGCCAAGCATTCTACAAGAAAAGCATATCATATATTGATCTACGAGCTTGGTTAATTAAAGGGCGTGAGTTCTTTCCGTTTCGTAATATGACAACACTAATTAATACAGACGGTAATTCTTCAACTGCAAGTGACATCCAAGTGCTCTCAAACATCTCAAATTCACAATTCATAAATACTGTCGTCTGAACTCTGATTTGGATTCGATTCTTTAAATCAAATAAAGTACAAGACCATATGAGTGCATTTTACCAATAGAAGACAATGAGAGGTGCTGATCCTAGATATAAGCAGACTCAAAAACGTAACACTGTTTAAATTGAACTTTTAAAGTAGTTGATCAACATGGAATACATCAATTCAACTTACCAAACCACTAGAAGTAGCATCAGGATTCTGAATATCTTCAACACAATATCGACAAGATCTAGACTCATCACTAATCTTGTCAAGGAAAACGTATATTTTGGCAACAATCCGTTTATCTATCAAAGGGACTTCCTTGAACACTTCAGGAGGAATTAAGTCAATCAAAGATCCACGTTCTTCCATGGTAAGAGAATTTAATATAGAGGTTGAGATATACTCAGATGATGAGGCTTCTAACACCCTCTTGGCTTCAGTTTTGGTGCTTTTTACCTAAGGAGAAAGAAATAGACAAGAGGGTTAATATGGATGATAGAATCAAAAGAAACGGTGTAGTTGATAGGTTCTAGAGCAGCTAGTATGCTAAAACCGAGACCACCCAAACCATTTTGCACAGCTGGATTCTTAATTAACAGTTGACCCAACGAAGTCAGTGAAAGTATGCCAACATTCGATTTAGTAGTCGATTGAGGTGACGCACCTCTGTAACGACTAGTATATGCATTCTCAAGTTTTCATTAATATATATCCCTATTCTAAGTCCCTCTAATAACCTTGACCGAATTCTTCGTTTCCAATCATTAATCATCCAATTTCGTCTTATATCTCTTAAGTCTCCTAATTCACCCTAGGAACAGATCAAAGTAGATTTTATAAGAAATAAACTCACTTCACTCTGGCCCCTCTCATAACACCAGTGAGCCATCTCTAGCCAAGCAGAAGCAGATTCATTGGTGTGCGAAATGTTGGTAGCAAACATGAGAAGACGCATTTGCAACTCTGAGGGTGAAAGGTCGCTCCCAATAGAGTCCAAAGATAATGAAGATCGAATGGGCTTACCGTCTGCCCATGTGTTCGCTGCCATTTGTCCAAAGATACGCAAGTCCTTAACCAGATCTGACGCAATACTGCTCAAAAGCTGAAAATTCTAAAATTGTTCAAAACGGACATATTAATATAAGGCAAGATCTCTGACAGGTTCTAAATAAACTTATGAAACTGAAGATCTTTTGAAATATGGAGCAAAGTAAATGTTTATTTCATAAGTGTATTATTAAAACACACGTTTCATTATTTTATCCAGTTGGGATCAGGTGATGTCTGGCATTAAAACAGATTTGACATAACTAGTCACAGCAAGCACTGAACATCAAACACGAAATAACCCAGGGGTCAAATAATTTTAGATAAGAGAGCATTTATTTATTTATATCAAATGGCAGGCGTTTTGATAGCTATCATTAGCATTTTAGTTGACTTCAGGCTTCACAGAGGGGAAGGAACATCAAAGTGAAAATCGAGTTGGTTGGAGGAACAGAAGAGTGTTTCAAAGATGTAGAAGATACAGACACAAAGTTAGAAAAAAGGCGAGGTGAGTAATGTAGAAGTAGTCGAATATGACATGCGGTGAAGTGATGGTAAATCTATCGCACACTCCAGGATAAGAGAACATCTTAGTGACTCATTTACTAAATTTAGAAGCCATCCCGAAGTGCCAAGAAATGCTCCACGTACACCTATAAGTGACCTGCTCTTTTGGTATGATTTACATTCAAAAATTTGAGATGCATTTACTAGATTAAAACCTGCTAGAGGAGTTCAAGAATAAACACAA